TAAATGTAGACTTACAAATAGAATTAAATATTAGCATAAAAGATGTCATAACTTGTAAATTAATCTGCAACTATCTTTTCTTTTCCTTATTCATGTAACAATAACCAGTAGGAAGAATATTGATAAGCTATGAGGCTCAATAAATTATATAAATTTAAATAACATTAAACTTGCATAATTATAAAATTCAAAACATTGAAAACATAAATAAAAGTTAGACAACTCATTATCCTTTACTTTCTCTAAAATGTATAATGAATATCAATTTTAGTCATTAAAAGATTTGGCTACCATTTCACAAAAATATTCAATGCAGCCCAAATAAACCTGTTATTATCGCCATTGAATTACATAGAGGTTCCTTTTGCCCCACCTGCTATGCATGTATCATGTTTTTGGGGTCCCTTTTGCCCCACTTACAATGCAGTGTACATGAAGACCCTTTTGCCCCACCTGTGATTGTAAGATATACATCATTTTATAGCCAAACTTTATTTTAAATTAATATTCAGTACACTTCACATATTCATACTTTATACTTGACTTGCCATGAACAAAATTCCATAAGAATTTAAAATTTAATATTTACATACCATGATGTGTTGGCGACATGAAATTTACTGAGCTCCTTTCAATTTATTATAAACTAGAAAAGCATTAAAATAATCATCACCCTTAAGCTTACAAGCTCAATGCAATTTGAGTTGGAATTTAGCTCATTTATGAGCTGGTCTTTAGTTCATTTATTGAACTAAGGTTAGCTCATTATTAGCTAAGTTTTAGTTCATAGTTATCTTTTAATTAATATAATTTTATTATAGTTTTTTATATCTTAATTTAAGTTGTCCCTTGGGATTCCAAAAGCCATTTTGGAATCCCAAGGAAGTTTGTTCTCCCATACCGTGGCTCCTTGGCTTCCATGGTTGGCTGCTGTTTTTCGTGCATGGCTCCTTAGTTCTCACGGTGGCTGCTGGTTTTCCGAACTGGGGGCCTTCCCGTGGCTTTTGGCGCCTCGGTTCCATGCGGCCTCTTGGGTTCCCGTGGCTGTTTCCTCGGTTCCCTGGCTGTGCTGTTTTTCCGTGAAAAGCAAGGGGGCTTTTCCATGGCTTGTGTTGTTTGGATTCCTATGGGAATTAAATGTTGTGTCCGTTTGTATTCCCCCTTTCATACCTATAAATATGAGGGGTTATGTAATGTTTTGAAGAGTGATATATGAATTTTTGAAAAGAAATCTGCGGATTTTCTTGGAGAAGCTTGCGAGCTTTGTCAACCTTCTTCTTCCACCTCCTTTGGAAATCTTGCGAGCTCTTTCCACCATTCTTCTTGGCTTCTAACCTCTTTCGTCTCTCCGCAAGTGACCACCCCATATGTATCCTTCGTCTCTAAGTGAAGCAAGTTTAGGGTCTCTTACTATTAGATTCAAGTTTGTAAGTCGTTTAATTTTAATCTGTGTTGTAAGTTTTGTTTTTTTAATTTCTAAGTCTGTTTTAGATTTGAAATGTAAGAGTTTGTTCGTCTTATTACGTAGGAGTCCCATTTCTTTTCTTCGGGAGTTTCTTATTTTCGTTACCCTTTGTGGGCTGAGGTCCTCGGGTCCCCCATCCCCCGGAATTTTGCCCGCATCAATTTATCTCTTAATATTTACATACCATGATGTGTTGGCGACATGAAATTTACTGAGCTCCTTTCAATTTATTATAAACTAGAAAAGCATTAAAATAATCATGAAAAATATTATTTTAAACATCAATGAGACATATATGCAAGTGGTCGATCATATATGAGAACTTGACTGTTAACATGCATAATATAAAATCATCAACTTTCATGACTATCTTTATAAATTGTCATACAAAATCAATGTATATATTTACAATGATAATATATACTCTTTTATTAGAAATTTGCATTACTTGCCTTCTTCAAAAGCTGACTCCTCAATTTCTCTACCTTGTATCCTTCTTCACTTGTATGTCACCTCTTCTTTCACTATTCTTTCCCTCTTATTCTTCCTTCGCTGTTCTTTGTTTTCGCAGTCAAGATTCCCTTCCAGAAAATTTCTTCCCAAAATTTCTGTTCTCTGTATATTCTTCTTTTACTGAATTCAGAAATTTTCCTTTTCAACAAAATTATGCTCCAAGGTTTCATTTCCACTTATATTTCCTGTTGTTTCTCCCGCTAGAATCTAACTCTCCATTCTCTGTACAACATACTGGATCTTCTTCACACCAAATGCCAATTTCCCTTCCTAGCACTTTGCCGAAAAACTCCGCCCAACAATCACTGTGCCGAATTCTATATGTAGAAATTCCACTGCCGCCTATATGCTACAGTAATTCCTGCGGCACTATGTCGACTTCTCTACAGGGAATTCACACCCTGCACCGAACTGTTCTATAGTCAGTGGCGGATCTACAGTGGGGGCCCTGGGGGCACGGGCCCCCACTGGCCCAACAATTAAACTCAATTTAAATATAATAAGTAATAACAATTATTATATTTCTAAAACCTTAATCGGGGCTCCCGCCTTTGCTCTCAGGTTGTCGCCCTCCTTCATCTCCCCCTTTACTTTCTCTCTCTCAAAGCTTAGCTCGAAGTTCGTCGAGCTTTTCTCGGACACCTGTTTGAGCTCAAGCTCGGTTCATGTTCACACAGTTCAAGCTCGTTTATTTTTGGGCTCGTCGAGCCGGCCTGCTTGGGTAAGCACAAAATGAACAAACTCTTTTAGAGTTCGCCCAAATAACACTCCCTGGTCCCGCCATCCCGTTCAAACTTTCATATGACAGAACACAGATTTTTTTTTATCTAGCATATATATAAAAATCCAGGCAGTGTATATGATATATATATATATATTTTAATTAAAAAAATATCTCATGATTTATAATTATATTAAAAAATGATATTTTAAAAACAATTTAATGACTACTACTAATTTGTGCCCCCATTAAAATTTTTTTTTTGCTCCGCCCCTGTCTACAGTAATTATTAATTCCAAGCGCTGTGCCGAATACCTAAAAGCCTTGTGCCGAAATGGTTGCTACAAGATTTTCTGCTCTATTCAATTCTTCTTTAGAGTGTTATAGCTGCATTTCCTATAATGCTTCACCCAAATATCTGCTTTGCTGGCTTGCGTGAAAACAAAACAGAGAAAAGACTGTTGGCTTGCGTGAAAGATGATGAGATGCGAGGCCCACTACCTAACTGCCTTCCAACACACCCCTTGAAAGCATTAATTCAAGAATTAAAGAATTATCTAATTTAAATTAAATATGTTACTTAAGATAATACTTATCCTGCATTTTAAACAATAACTTAACTGTTTATATAATTTCAACAACACTTTAACATTAACTTTAAATATACATTTTAGATTATAATTAAATAAATTTTAAATTTTCATACATTAATATTTTGGGTCTTCAGGAGGGGTCGACTGAACCGGTCCAACCTGAACCGGTTCACTCCTACAGCAGGTGGCCCAAGCCTATTGGGGGGTGGAACCAAGGGGAGGGGGGGCAGATGCTCTAGTGGGCCCAATTTCTTAATGTAATTGCTGTTTAGGAGGGAAAGTTTGAATTAAGGGATGTTTAGTCTTTTTGTAATATTCCTTTAGTTTTAACTAGTCTTTTTGGTTAGGGTTTGCTTTTCATCTTGAATTTGGAAGAGATTTGAGATCTAGGTTTTTTTTTTTTTGGGCTCTAGGCTTTGCTAGAGATTTGAAGAGTTGTTTCTTCCTCTCGAATCGAATAAACTTGTATCTTATATTGCTTTTTCTTGTTCGTGGATTGAATAGAAGAAGTTTTCTTGTGTTTCTTTCCAGTTTTTCTGAAATTTCTGCTTCATCTTGCTGATTTCTCTCTGAAATCAGCAAGATTTCCCACTGTTTTCACCAATTTCTGTTAGGTTTGCTTGTGAACTCAAGTATTTCCCTTAGGGTTATTTGCGAACTCAAGTATTTCCTATCATAGGGTTGCAGGTGGTTATTATGGGCTGTTATAGGTGTACCACTCGATATGAGGAATAAACATGATGACTAGTTAGATGTGGGTGTGATCTAGTTTGTTAAGCATTTGACTCCCTCTTTTCCTCATTCTAGGTCCTAAAATTATGACAAAGCACCAAATTAATTAAATTAATTAGTGTATTATTCAATGTGCTTCAGAAAAATAAATTAGGCCTAATTTTAATAGTAATGGACCTAACAAACTTAATCATGCTATTAATTAATCAAACAAATTTACATAGCCCTGACCCTTATTTTAGTTTTACACAACAACAACAATAACAATAGAAAACTTTTATCCCACTACATGGGCTAGACAAATTGAATTAGTCTGGATAGGGATAAACAAATCCACTGGTTAAAAGATTAAATCTTTTGATCAGTGATGGGGATGCTAAGATCTTGGCTTGTATTCCATATCAACAAGATTTATGATAAGAATATAATGGATAGTATTTGTTTAAACATTATTTCTATGATTTAAAAATGTGTTGATAACTTTTATGGTATCTTGGAGATAGACGTGGTCAGTGGGCTGTTATCTTAGTGAGTCTAGCCAAGATTAAAGATGCCTTTCCCGGATAATACTCTAGACTTGGTAACCTGGGTTGTATTTGCATTACCTAAGCTAGGTTTTACTAGCTACTCATACCTGAACTAGTTATGAAAAAATTCATTACGCATGAATTTGTTATATATTAAAATAATCTGAATTATTTATTTAATTTGATTGAATTTTTATAACTATATTATCAAGGTCTAGTCCTTGGATTAGTCGTGGCATTGTGCCACTGAGTTGTTAGCAAGCAGGTTGACTAGGCCAGACTCTGGCTTGGTGTAGAGTGAGATTTGCCCTAACCATTCATCAATTCCGGTAAAAAAATGATTTGATTGCTATTTTTTGTATTGACTTGGCTTTAAACAATCCAAAACTTCTTCTTTATGGTTCTGACTTTAGATTATAAACCATGCAACTGGTTTTCTTTTACTGCAGATTAGCTTGTTGGAGATCCCTGAACATAAAAGGAAAAGATTAACGACATTACCTACAAATGTGATGAGAGATGAAAGTGATAAGGTATGACTGTTTTTTCCAATGAGATAACTAAAGTTTCTGACTTTTCAATTTCCATGACGTGGTTTCCCTTTTTCTATTTGTCTAACTTAAAATGAAATTTATTACTTATGGCGTTCTTTATATATTTGGTTCTCATGTATTACGTTATACAATAACTCGAGCATTTTGAATGTGAAAAAGGAATTGCCAAAATGCCGACTGAATTGTAGATAAGCTTAGGTGTCTTGGTCTTGTTCATGTCTCACATAATTGGTCATTGTAGTCTCACTGTAGGTAGAAGTTGGCAACTTCTTGTCTATAGTCTGAATCCAACTCTAGATTTTAAGATTGGACATATAAAATGTTATCATCTGAACATTGTTTTCATTGGAAAAATGTGTGTCCCAAATCAAAACTATGGTTGTCATTTGTGCTTGACCTGCTAAGTTGAAAAACCTGATCCTAGCTAGAAACCAAGAACAATTTATTGTATTGCATGGCTTAGATTTTTAATATTTTGATTGATCCTATCAGCATCGTTTTGCTGAAGTTGTTTGTTGGGATGAATGGGGGAAGAGTTAACCAAAAACCTAAATCCTATTCCTTTTTATTTACCAAGAATCTATATAATCTTTTGCTTTTCATCATCTTTCTTTCAAAATTCTACTATGCTGGCCATTGTGCAATCGAGAAGTGGTTTGATTAACCACATCTCTCTCTCTCTCTCTCTCTCTCTCTCTCTCTACAACCAATGCATGTTTTTCTTTTTGTGATAATTTTTCTTGTTATTCTTTTTCATATCTTTGGCTTTTGGTTTTGACTCGCTATCCATTTGCCCCCTATTGGAAGAATCAGTATGTGGGAGATTTCTTGTTTCTTGGCTGGTGTTTAGGTTGATTTCCCAAATCATAAACTGAGCTAACCTCACTAATTTCCTTAAACTTCAAATCATCTTGATCTGCCTTTGATTAGGGACCTATCTGACCTAATCTAACTATTATTTAGTTTAGGTTGGATTCTCAGTTAAGTTGAAGTTAAAGAGTGTGGGTGAGAAGTTGATGCTATCTAGTGGCTTCCACTTTGGACTCCAAGTACGGTGCTACTCTTATACACGGTTAATTTGTTTCTAGTAATTAACATGGACATATAGACATATCCTGACGTTTTTATGCTCCATGCCTGAAGGCATGTAGAAAGGCTTGAAGGGCAAGCATGGGAAAAATCCTCGAGTGGAGAGTAATTGTGGGGGAACAATGACTAGAAGGATGAGAATTTAATGATGGAAGGTGACATCTTTCACCTCAATCCCATGTTTGCTCATCATCATGGAGATGGACCTGTTCTCATTATAATTTGGGAATAAAATTATATAAACATAGGCACAAAGCATTATAAAAAGAATTGAGGGTAAAAATGTAAAAAGCAATCCAAGTGGGAAAATAGTTGAGCTTTCAGGAAAAAAGTAGAAGAGTTAAAAAAGAGGAGGATGAAGTGAAGTGTCTGTGACATTTTTAGACTCCTGACAACCGCACAAGCTATGGTTGTTGGGGCTTATTAGTTGGGGTCCTGTTTTATATATAATGTGTTTGGCGATCTGAATGGCATTCTTTATTTAGAATTATATTACTATACCATTCACTTTGGTTTTATTCTATCATTTAACTTTATCCAATTTCTTCATATTACTTCTGTGTCAATCATTATGGGGATTTTTTAGTTTAAAATTTTACGAAGATGCAATGCCTAGCATTGGCTTTGGTATCTTACAATACTTAGATTCATAATAATCCAAGTTGAACCTTAGTCTGGATATACATAGTTTAGTATTTTACATGCTTAAGCCAACTTCAAATAGTTTGGAGAAGGCTAATGGTATGATGATGATTGATGACCACCACGATAAGGACATGAGAGAGAGAGAGCGCTATAAAAAAACCTTGTGTTCTTGTTTGATCATGCTCAATTCAATAATTAACTCGAGTTCGATTAATTTTATATGCTCATATATTTAACAAAGCAAACATAAAGTCTTGTTCAGTCATATTTGGCCTGAAAATAACTTGATATATATATATATATATATATATATATATAGATATTCGTTAATGTATATATTATGCATATACATGTATAGATTATGTATATTCATATTTATGTATTTATATTTGTTTGAATATATGTACATATACTTAAAGATTCATATATTCTATAATTTATGTTTGACTTTCAAGTAAATTTTATGTTTATGAATTGCTTCTTTTACTTGATAAGTTATGAGCCGAATAAAAAAAAAAAAAAGCTTATTTGCTTCAATAAAAAAAAAAAAAAGCTCATTTGCTTCACGACCCTCACCAAACAAGACTTGAACTCACTCAAAATTGGCTCGTTTCCACTCCTAGAGGGAGGGAGGGAGGGAGGGAGGGAGGGATCTCTTTGCGTCTATTATGTCTGGTTTGGTAGGAAATATTTCTTAATATGAATCATTCATCTGGTCAAATTGCTGTCTTCAGAGCTGATGGTTCATATTCATTTGAAATATCAATGTATTTTGGTATAAGAATATTATTTTAGGCTTTTAGATGATTATTCATCTGATTTTGATGCGTAAGAGATGCTCATTAATTTAAAAACAAATCTACAATAAGCATCCATTTGTGGCGGATCCTATTGATAAAAATAAGTTGCGAAACTACTACTGTAGGAAAAGTTGTGGCTGAAATTGTTACTTTTGTTTGGATAACTTAGCCGTTAGGAGGATGCTATTTATATAACAGTAAGTGATTTGTTATTTGAACAGGCTGTTTTGCCACTGATTTGCTATTCTAATGCTCAAATGCCCTTATACTTGTTAGTGCTTAAAAAAAGTTGATGCTCGTCAAATTAATTTTTTCTTAAATATAGCTAATAAGATAATATTCTTGATAAATCAAACGCTCTTACCAAATAAAAAATAAAAAATCTAAAATATGATATTGTTTTTTTATTGCAATGTGGTCATAAATCTAATGGGTAAAGGAAAGAAATCTATGTTTAACAGTAGTCCGAACACGTATTGCTTTTATTATTATTACGCTTGTGGCGTGGTTGTTTTCAATAAGCAAAAGAAAAAAAAATCACAAACTATGTTGAGAAGAGCGTGGAATAACTAACAACAAAGAATCTTCTAGATGGAAAAATTAATTAACCGAACTAAACATCTGCATATTACTGTTTGCAGAGAAACATTGACCAAACATATCATGGAAGCTTGAAGGAAAATATTCACTCTGGCGAATTTTTTTTAGCCTTTATTCAAGATGAAAAATAATACGGATTATCTGGAGGAGATTTTAGAAACATATAAAAACTTTCTCAAACTTGTTTGGTTCTCTTCAAGATTTGGGTGTTTCACAGATTTTTTTCCGCAAATTGTACAAGTTTTCCTAAGCCTCCCATTTCAAGCCACAGCTGCTGCAGGATAAAAATTGCGAAGGGAGTTCAGTTGTAGGTGTTCACAAAATGGGAGCTAGAACTTTGTCCTCAATAGTAAGCCGTTGCATTTTTCTGGAAGTTGGAGGGAAAAACAGTAAAGATGAAATACACAACCATTTAATTCTATTTGCTGAAGCCTCACGCAGAACTACATGGTTGGCTGAGAAAAGTTCCTCCAGATTTATCTGAAAAGCCGAGAAAATTTTGTTAGACGAACAAAATCTTTTAGAGTTGTTGCAGCAGTCTATAAAACTAAAAACAACTACAACATCAATCCTTTATCCCACTATATAGGGTCAGCTATATGAATCTTTTTTCTCCATGGTGTTTTGTTAAAACTCACATTCTTATTTAAATCTTATAAAGAAAGATTATTTCTAATATTTTCTAATCAAGTCTTTTTAGGTCTACCTCTACTTTTCTTAACATAAGCCAAATCTAATACATCTACTTTCCTAACCGGGTCATTAGAAGGCTGCCATTTTATGTGACCAAACCATCTAAGGCGACTCTTTTTAATCTTATCTTCCATTGGAGCTACTCCAACATTTTCATGTATATATGCTCATTTTGTATCCTGTTTCTAAGAGTAAAGCCACTCATCCACCTGAGCATCCTCATCTCCGCAACACTAAACTTAACTTTTAATGGCCAACTTTCTACGCCATAAAGCATTGCAGGTCTCACCACTATCTTATAAAATTTCCCCTTAAGTCTAAGGGGGACATTTTTATCACACAACAAGCCTGATGGATTCCTCCACTTCAACCATCCAACTTGAATTCCACTGATAATATCCCCCTATCTATTTTCCCATCATTCTGAACATCTAAGATATCTAAAACGTGTACTCTTATTAATAACTTGATAGCCCAAAGTCAAAATTCTCCCACTAGATCTATTACTACTAAAATTACACTCCATATTTCAGTTTTATATCTACTCAAACGAAAATCTTTAGAGTCTAAGGTTGACCTCCACAATTCAAGTTTATCTTCAGCTCCCCCTCTAGTCTTATCAACAAGAAGAATATCATCAACAAAAAGCATACACCAAGGTACAACCTCTTGCAAATGACTAGTGAGAACATCCATGACTAAAGCAAACAAGATATAGCTTAAGGCTGATCCTTGAGTCTATAAAACTAAACAGTGGAAAAATTATCTCAAATAGATCCTAAGATATAAAGCATTTTTAAAGCTTTATATTTAAATTTCATCAGGGCATATATTATTTGAAATTTTGTGATTCCTCTGCCCTTTCAGTAAAACTTGTATGAACTGGAGCTAATAGGTTGACTTCATGAATAATTTATGCCTGTGCAAATCTGAACTTCTTTGTCTTGGCCTTGTTTTATTACAATATTGAATTGGTGTTATTCAATGTGGGCTCCGAAAATTCGGCCCCGACCTCCGCCCGCACTATTGCTTTTTCTTTTTGCGAGGGAGTTTTAACGGACTAAATTTCGGGGTAAATTTTGGGAAGACACATGGGTTTGTAGATAAGACACTACCCAGAGATTTAGCCCTCATTTTGCGAGGACTTTATGATATGAGTTCTGGTTTCCTGTAGGCGCAAGCCCTTATAGTTAATTACCCCTATCAATGACGAGAGAGAACTTTC